GGAATTGTGTGGATGTGCACTGGGGCCATTTGCGGGCGTGCCTCGCTGCTAGGGCAATTGCCGGAATTGGCGGGGATGTGCGTTGCAAAGTGTCTGTTTTGCGACAAACCCATGCTGGCTCTCTTCGCAGAAACCATACGTGTGTGAAAATTTGCTGTGTGGCATGGTTAAATTGGAGAGTCCCCGGGTTGAAAGCTCAGAGTGTCCCGTGTCCCAAGATGGACCATCTGGACATTTTGACCAAGCATGTGCAAAGGTGGGGCGAGGCAAGCCTCATCCTTGGGTGCTTGCAGCGTGTTTGGCCCGTGCAAAACAAGGTGTCTGAGACCTTGATTAGGTCCTCCAGTTTTGGAGGTTTGGGTTTAGGGTACCATTTTGTGTTGTTCTTCTTTTTTTTTCATTTTTTTTTCGTTTTTTTTTTTTTTTTTTTTTTCCGGTTGTCTATTTCAGTAGGGGAACCTGAACCCTCCCCCAAAAAAGCTGGTAATGGGGCACTACTGGGGGACCTTGATAAGGATCGCCAGACCATCTGCGGGTGATCTGAATTATTTTCACGCCCTCCGAAACGCTCGTCCCTCTCAGCCCGGCGCCGATGCTTGCGGTGTGCACGCAAGTCACCTTGCAAGAGACGTGCGGAAACGTACAGTTCGTCCACATCTTTATGCTATGAGCATGGGGCAATCTCCACTTGAGATAGGCAATTCCTCGAATTTATCCTTGCCCAGCCAGACCGGAAAACACGGACATCCAAATGGGTCCCGCAGCAACCCGCAACCGCGCCGTTGAGTCTGAGTCGGATGGATCGACTGGACAAACAGAACCTGCTGAACTGAAGGCTACAGCATCTACAACCATGATCCCCTGACAAGGAACCCCTACGCTTGTAGGAATTCCCTACGAAAATCCATGATCCGTATCAACCCCAAAGGGTCAAAGAGACCATCGCACAAATCAGGATTGCTCAGCAAATATTGTTACCAGCTGATTTGGAGGATCCCTGTCTGAGATATGTGGGTGTCCAATGACCGTGGAATAGTATCAGCCCCTGTTGGGGCCAATTGAAAACCCGCAGCTTGGGTTCCTGGAATCCTTTAAATCGTATCCTCAACACTGGGCTGTCCGTTTTCAGATCCCCCCCTAAAAGTGACTAGCTTTTAGCGGGTTGAATGGAAACCCCCCCTAAAAACTAAATTGCTAAAAAGCTAAGGGGTCCCAGCCACCAAGAACAGTATCCTATAAATGGTGGGGTGTCAAGGGATATCCCGCCGCGACATTTTGAGAACTGACCATGAGTCAAGGTCCAAACTCCTTGGAGGTTCCCCCGGGGGGAATCCTTTGCAACCGCGACATCTTGAGACCTGAACATGTGTCCGTGGTGGTTTTCCTTGGGGAACCTCGGCAATGATCAGGACGGTGCAACACACGCTTGAAGCCGGAGTAAAGGGTAATTATGTATCAAGAGAGTGACGGAGAGACAAAGAGAGAGAGAGAGAGAGAAAAAAAGAGAGAGAGAGAGAGAGAGAGAGAGACAGAGAGAGAGAGAGAGAGAGAGAGAACGAGAGAGAGAGAGAGAGATGGCACAAGGGCCAAAAACGCTGTGCAACAAGCAGGATTTGAATTTAGACTGGGGACCCAGTGCTCGTGGGGATTGGTCAATATTCCGTGCCGTCCCACGGGTAACTTTTCTCATTTAGTGGTGAAAGCCATCACTTTGGCGGTTTCCCTAATCTGGGCTGTCCTCAGATTCCCTGCTAAAAGTGACTAACTAATGTCCAACCACTAAACCAACTACAAGCAAAAACTTAAAAAGCCAAGTTGACTAGGTCCTCCCGTCGAGAGGTTAAAATAAGGGTACCTTTTTTTTCTGATAGTCCATTTTAGTAGGGGAACCCTCCCCCCCCAAAAAAAAGGGCCCAAAGGGCACCTAGCTGGGGGACCTAGTAAAGGACCTTCAGGATGGGTGAGCTCCCTTTTGCTTCGGGTGAGCTCGTTATACTTTGTCTAAATGTAGCCATACCTCCCATTGGGGCTCCCATTACCATGGCAATGACTGCCACTGCAACTTGAACCGGATGATTCGCAGGTTGAGCCACCAAGTCCTTCGTTGACGAGCCTTGGAAGCCTTCACCTGCACGCGCGGCAGCAGCTCCTGCGTGTGGAGGTGGTCTGCTGGTCGCGTGAATTCGCTCCTTTGGTGCGGGGAGAGCTTGGTGGTTGGTAATTTGTAGATGCGTGTGTGCCATTTTTTGGGGTGATGGTTGTTGGGATCTGCAGGTTTGGCGGATTTTGGGGGAGGTTGTGAGTTGTTAGGATTTGTAGATTTGGTGGGTTTTGGAAAAGGTTGTTTGGATTTGTAGGTTTGGCGGGTTTTGGGGGAGGTTGTAAGGATTTGTAGATCTGGTGGGTTTTGGGAAAGGTTGCTAGGATTTGTAGATCTGGTGAGTTTTGGGGGAGGTTGTCAGGATGTGTAGATCTGGTGGGTGTTGGGAAAGGTTGTGAGGATTTGTAGATCTGGTGGGTTTTGGGGGAGGTTGTTAGGATTTGTAGATTTGGTGGGTTTTGGGACAAGTTGTTGAGATTTGTAGGCTTGGCGGGTTTTGGGGGAGGTTGTCAGGATTTGTAGATCTGGTGGATGTTGGGAAAGGTTGTTAGGATTTGTAGGCTTGTCAGGATTTGTGAATTTGGTGGGTTTTGGAAAAGGTTGTTTGGATTTGTAGGTTTGGCGGGTTTTGGGGGAGGTTGTAAGGATTTGTAGATCTGGTGGGTTTGGGAAAGGAGGTTAGGATTTGTAGGTTTGGCAGGTTCCGGGGAAGGTTGCCAGGATTGGGTCTTGGGAACGGTTGTCAGGATTTGTAGGTTTGGCGGGTTGTTAGGGTTTCGTGGCGCGGGGATTGAAGGATTGCTTGGTTGATGTGTGAATACAGACAACTTCTAGAGCGCAAAGCGGCTACGCGCAATGTAGCACATTCAACCTATGTTGATCTGAGCTGAAACAGCCCTTCACAAGAAACTAGTGAAGCGACAAACAATCGTCACTGGGCTTCCTGGTTGCCTGCGTTTAAGCAGCATATCAACAGGCCTCGCCCTTGCGGATGGATGTGGAAGGACTTGGGCCAAGACACAGGAAGCCACCTTAGATGATCCGACAAGGTGCAAACACATTGCCCTTGGCACCAGTCTGCGTTGCAAATTCGGTTGTGGCAGTGCTGCATCCATCCAATAAGCAGAAGTCACAATCAAAGAACATGGTTCAGATCCTTGGCAAGGGAAGGGACATTCCACCCCCTATTGAGTTGCAACCTAACAGTCTAATCCGTGACAAGGCCCGTGTCCTCACTTCAGGTCTCAAGTGCTTTTTCAGGGGCTCAGATTTCCCCACATGTCACATGGCCATGGGTCTAAAGCCCGTACCCCCAGTGAACATCCCAATCCCCACTGAAATAGACTAAACTGGGTGGTGCACCTACCCCAAAGTGGTAGCATTGGTTTTGACCCACATGTCACATCTGTTTGAGCTGGCACCTCACGCATAAAAGCTGGCGACGGCCCTGCGTCCTTGCGGGAGTCAAGGTGCCACACCTGCAATATGCGACTCTCGCCCAGTGACACTGACTGATCAAAAGTCCAACTGTTTACTGCTACCCCCGTCCCTTAAAGAGGAAAGGGTCTAGGTATCCTCCCACAGATGCCTTCTGTTAGTAAGAAGGATATTTGAAGTGGCCTCGAAAAAGATCAAGCCGGAACCCGAGTGAGTTGTTGAGTATATTGTTCGTGGGTCCCGAAGCCCCACGAAAACAATTTCAGCTTCCCTCTGGTTGGTGGTTTGGATTGGTTTGTTTCAGGGTCGCTTCCCTTTTGACCTCTACAAGAACAGGGGTTCAAACCAACGCCCCACTTGACCTCGGTCGGCACTGAGCTGACGAGACAAAGAGGTTGAAGCACCTTTAAGCAAAACGCGGAGAACAAAACACCGGGGTGTCTAACCTTTTTTTGAGGGAAAAACACATTTTTGCCGAAACGAAACAACACTGGGGGTTGTCTAACCCTTTCTGGAGACATGTTCCCAAAACATCAACATTCCAGGTTTTCTTGGGTGGTGCAGGATTTCGTCCATCCACAGTATGTAGCAAAACACGCCAATTTGAATTTGATCAGATCGGTGTGGTACGGTCAATGTTCATCCTGCTTGAGAATATCATATTGTCAATGCAATATTGACCGCCCCGGACGTGCTCTTTCACTCGCACCATTCAAGGGGGTAAAGGGGTGAACATTTGTTGCAGCAATCCAAGAGGGCACGCATTTGTCCTGGCGGTGTGAGTGGCAGCCAGGCGCGGGTCCAGTGGCCGATAGGGTTTGCCGCGGATCCGAAACGTCGCCCCAAAAGCAAACTCGCTTCGACTTGGAAACCAAAAGTGATGCTTAAACCAACTCAAAGAAGAAATGCAGTACCGTTAAATCTGAGAAGTGTAATGCACCGACAAACGAAAATGAATCATAGGTGAAGTCGCAACCTCCCTTTCTCGAGGTCGCCAACTGCCACGTTAGGCACCTCTCAATGGTGTTGCCTTTCCTGTTCAATTCCATTTACACCAGCCAAAGGGTACCCTCAAACAAGCACATATATATATATATCTATATATATATCTATATATATATATATATATACGAATCCCCGCCTGCAGCCACCATCGACTCCCACAATCCTGGTGCACGGGGAGGTCCCCCTCCCATCCAAAAGCCAGCCAGTGGGTTCCATGGACCAGAGAGGGAGGAACCACCTTGCAGAGGGTTTCAAGTTGGGCGCACGTCTTGAGCCAAAAAAAGCCACCCGAAAGGGTCGGGCCAAAGATCCTCCCTCCGCTTCAGCTTTTTCGGCCTTCAAAGAATTGAAGCAAAGCGCGAGGCGATCCTCTGCTCTTCCATGGAACCCACGGTCCCTTTTAAAGGAACATAGTCTTCCAGGAACCGCTGTTAGTGAATGGCAGTCAAAATTCAAGCTAATGACAATTCTGCAGTTCTTCCTTGCATGGTTTCAAGGAACGCCATTCCACATATCCAAGCAAAAACAGCCAGCAACGGCACATATCTTACGGCGTGTTCCCCAAAAAAGATGAAAAAGCGCACCAACGGCATCCCAAGGAAAATCCGTACATGCCCTTGATCAATCCTGGCTCTCTCCAGCGCTGAAAAATCAAGGAAAAGCCCATCTGGACGAATCGGGACCTTTCGAATCTGGCTTTTCCGGCCTCAGCGGGGGGGGGGGGTTATCAATCATGGGTATACATTGCGCGTTTTCGTTTTTTCTTTTTTTGATTTGTGAGACCTCTCTATTCTCCCACAAAGGTTAACAGAACAAAAACGCCGGGGGAAAGGGCCTTTCTCCAGGTCTTAGGCAACCGACTGGACCCCGAGCATTCCAAGGCTCCCAGTTTTGACGTGTACCCAAACCAAGCCGCGGGAACTCCCCCCGAACCAAAACCCGCCTGCCGTTCCGTGGGACCTGGGCCATGGAAATTTGCGGTTTTTCAGTTGCTCGAGCCCTTGAGACACCATTTTTACACGGGGATAGCCCATGAGAACCATGGATTGAAATTAAGAATGGATCCGGATGTCCCCAAAAAGCATTGCATTACGCATAAACCAGAAGGATCACTGCATTGATTTGCTAGCGGAGTTGTTTGTCTCCAGAATCAGAACGGGCCGCAGCGACTTGTAGTTAGGGATGTGTGCATGCATGGACAGCTGGGGGTGAAACTTGTGTTGAGCGGAGCAAAAGCAGAGGGATTTCAAAGCCCTTGCAACTCTTATAAGGGATATAAAGGGATAGGATATATCCGATAGCTTTTTTGTTCAACACTCATGGACGTGGACAGGGCGCCTGTCTTACAGTACATGATCGCAGTCTGTCAATTAGCGCAAGCTTCATCGACATGACTGCGCAACCTGCAATCTCCAAAGCCAACAAATCTGGCTGCCCTCAGATCCCCTGCTAAAAGTTTAACTTTTAGTGGGTTGAACGGAAACCCAACCATTAAAACACCAGGCTAAAAAGCGAAGGAACCGGATGGCTGGAAGCCACCAAGTATGGTACACCCCACGAAATCCTGCTTGCTTGGCCAGCTGTCCGACTTAAGCCCCAGCTACTCTTGCAGACTTGCAGGCGGACTTTTTTCTTGGATGCTCGTTGGTAAGTCGCAAAAGAAACAACTCGACGGGGGTCCAACTGAAGGCAAACCTGGGTTTCCATGGTAAACACCGATCCCTTTTTTAGTAGAGGGTCGACATCATACCCTGAAAAGTGGGTATTGGGTGTAAGGGGGTTGATATGACTTTGATATGTGCGTAGGGAAGTCTGAAGACAAACAAGATGATCAACGCTTGCATCAAACCTGAACCTGGGCCTCCAGTCAGCACATGATCGAAATGCCATCCTGCGCCGGTCGGCCTTCGGGCATCCAACAAATATATCTTGCGTTTGCGATCGTCACGAGTGTTCGTAGTTTCAGGACCTAGGATCAGGGTTTTGTTTACATGTAAATGTGTATACACATTGTTCTTTTTTTGGTGCAAGTTTCGACGCCACTTCAGTGAACTGCCAAACCTGTTGTGAATCTACGGCAGTACTGCAGTACTGGCATATTCGATTCAAATGGTGGGACTTCTGAATCCTGTCATGTAGCCAAAGACCGCCCCCTTCGACCGGATCACAGAACTTGTTCAGAATCTGTCTGCTCCTGTGGATGGACGAAAGCAAGCCTGCACCACTTTAAAACCATGGGTTTTCGTTGGTACTTACTCGGGCATCATCCTTCCAGGGTTTCTTTGGTGGTGCAGGATTTTGTCCATCCACAGTATGTATAGATGCGTTTGTTCTCTTGAGTCAGGCGGCCGGCAAGCAGAAATACGCTTGAAAGGCTTCTGAGCTGCGGAGCATGTCGCTCCATGGTGCAACAACCCTTTTCCACAAGATGTTGCTATGAAACCAACCAACCAACCCAAACATGATGTGATATGTTGCTATGAAACCAACCAACTAATATGGTTAGTACTATCTTTCACCCATGGCATTCAAGGAAACGCCTAAGGCGGCCCTGAAACCGGAAAGTTTGACAAGGGAAACAAGAGGATCCCCGGGCCCAACTTTGCCGCCTGCACCAAACTTCGCCAAAGCCGAAAAAGCAGAAAGCTCAGGCCACGTCTGGCCACCCTGAGACTTTGCTTCGACATTCGCCGCTGGGGCTGCGGGCCTCCTCCCTTCGCCTGCGCTTTTTTTTTTCACGAAAGCGGGAGCCCCTGCATGGTTCTCAGGGAGAACCCCAGCCTGAACCAACTGCCGTTCTCTGCAAGCTCCCCAGGTTTCCCAAAAACTGAAGATCGAACAGTCTGAGAGCCGGCAAGTTGAAGCCCAAAACACGGGGATGTTCTCAACACGGGGTTTGGACCCCTGTTGGTCGCTAACACGGAACAAAAGGACACTGTTGCAATATGTTAGGTACCGATTCCCATGCTTGAAATCCCAGCTCTGTTGCTATTTATGAAGTCCGTGATACCCCAGCCCCACGAGGGAAGGTATGGAACCAATGGGAGACGCTTGTGAAGCAAGTCCTAGCTAAAGTCTCTATGCTAACCAGTAGCAAATTCAGCTGTATGCAAAAGTCACGGGTGCACAAATATTCTACCCAAATCCACCGTATGGAATTACCATGGACAGTATGATGCACAAGGCAAGACATGAGAATACTACACGCTGGGCCCACAACCAACAAGCATAGAATGTGTTAGTTTTAGAACTGTAACCCCAGTTGGTTGCCACATGTGCTCCTTCATTGAGGCGGCAAGCTGATTTTTCAGGGATAAGGATAGGCGGAAAAACTCAATCATCCAAGAGAGTCAATAAACATTGGGCCGTTCCACACAGTGAACAGGAAAAACCGTCCAACAAATACAAGAGGCCCCTGTCCAGGGGAACAAGTTGGCAACATGAGAAAAGAAGAAGTTGCCGGGATCCCCGAAAGGGAATGTTTGTTTGCGCCTTGCCCCAGAGCAAGTTGCAAAACCTTGCTTGCCGGGAGACATGAAAAAACCACCCAAAGGTTCAGCACTTTGCCCGACACCGAGTTCGTTCGAGAAGTAAAGAAACCCGACAAACGAGACCCCTGAAGCCAGTGACTGGTGTCAACACTGTGCATAGAAACAACAACCAGTTGTGGGGTTGACCCTTCAGTGGGAAACCCACCCAACAGAAAGGGCTTCAGACGGTTCCAGTGGACAACTAGGTGTGGGTGCTTTTTGTTGAAGGTACCCATTTCAGATTGCTGTACAGGGAAGCCACAAAGAAAATACAGCCTTTTCGACACAAACTATGTGTGCGCATGTCTCGAAGGATCTTTCGTGCTGAGTGCGCCTTTGCCACCGGCGAGCTCTTCAAACCTGCCCAGCACACGCTGCGGGGCGAGCCGATACGCAACCAGCCGCATGTGATAAGCAGAGCGCTGACGAGAGGATGGAAACTATTGATACGACTTCTCACTTAATGGTTCCTTGGTAGTGGCTAGTCCCTACCTGTGTGGTAAAGAGGTGGACATTTGGGCGCGGGGGTTCCGTCCCGTCCACTGCTGTCCTGTTGCCGTCTCTAGCCCATTTGCTTCCTCCGGTGGCAAGAAGAGGAAACGCTTTTCAACGAAGCAAGGTGCCAGCCCCAAAGCGAAGCACGAATACAGCTTTAAAAGATCAGAAGGGCCCTGGAAGAGAAGCGCAGCCCCCTTATAAGCGAAGGTTCCTTAACATGACACCCACGCAAGTACAGACTGATGATTTTATGAGCGGTCAAAATCAGCTGTTACCGGGATGGGCATGGACAGCTAGACGGTCTGCCTGGTTTTGGTGGGAAATCTCAGCAGTCCCCATGTCCCTTCCAAACCTAACCGAGCCTCATATTACCAACTAACCCACGTCATTCCTCTGCAAATCCTGTCTATAAGCTTTGTGTTGCTTGTGCAAGTGGCAAGTGGGCTTTTGTGTGGGGGCTTGGAGCGATTTGGGCTCGACACGTAAACCCTACGCCATACGCAATGCGCATGAAACCTCTTCGTTGGAAGACGCCCCAAACACACCTGGCAAAGCCTCCCACTAAACACACGAAAAACCCATCTTGGGGAAAACTATGCAATATCCACCAATATTGGTGTGGTTGGGGCCGCCAAAAAGATTTGCGGACACCGCCTTCTGGCGTGCAATTGGCAAGAAGAGCTGCAATCTAATGTTGGGCACCAGGTTGATCGAAGGGTGCCCAATACATTTTCAACAACACAAACACATGTAATCTATACCCAAGTTCGAAGAGGGGACTGAATACAAACAGCCCTTGCTTGGTGAAGGACAAACTGGTAGTTGGCTGTCGGCCAATATTGAGTTCCTAAGCAGATTCTGAACCAAAGCAAAGCCAGTACTAGCACGAAAGCTTGCAGGGCAAGAGCCCCAAACAACAAAGTCCTTTACCTTGTCCAGAGCAGCCCCGACCATTTGGGCAAAGGGGGGTACAGCGCAGCCCCTGATGCACAATTATGTGCCTTGTTCAAGGGAAGTCACTGGAGAAAGAGCGCGAGCCCGTGACTTGCTCCAGTTCCTACTAACAATACTAAGCAATGCTGGCCACGTCTGATCAGTTGTGCACAACTTGAGACACACTATATAAGCCAATACTAAACACATACTGAACAAGTTCTAGCCAGCTATAAAACCAGTACTCAAATCAGAACATATACGCACGAGTTTAAATTCTCCTGAAGCAATTCAACCAATTTCACTATCAAAGTCAGCCCCGTTCAGCGGTGGGTCAAAGGGAAACAACCCACCATTTTCTGACTTCACCCCCGAAACCGTCAGAATCATAAGCCCAGAACTATGCCGCGCCTCCGTTCGGGCTCGAGGGCGCAACATGAACCTGGGCGGGGCGCGGCGCTGGACGAGAGGGGGAAAAAGGCCGTGGGCTCTGCAATGCTAAATTTGGACTGGGTTGGGTTGGGTTGGGCTTGGGAAGGGTTAGGGTTTAGACTTTAGGGTTTAGGGTTTAGGGTTTTCAAAAACCATCACAAATTTGGGTTGGGATAAGATCATGAATTGGCCTTCACGAAACAAGAGATGATAAACATCACAAGCGTGGGTTGGGGTTGGGAAGGATCTGGTATCGAACAACGGTAACATGGCAAGGCAACCAACCTTTGGAAATGGCATCAACCAGGTTACAAGCGTGGCTCTGCAGTTTCTCTCCGAATGCCGCATCCTTGACTGGACCCCGGGGCGATCACACATCTAGGTCCTCCAGTAGAGGTTAGAATAAGGGTACCTTTTTTTCTGCAGTCTATTTTAGTAGGGGAACCCTCCCCCAACAAAGCAGAACTGGGGCACCTAGACATGTTCACGATGGTTCGGACACCGTACAAAAAGCCCTCGACTCTCTGGCAAAGACATCGTTTCCGGACGACTTGGTGTATGGGGTAGAAACTCGGGGGCCCGTCAAGATCATAATTAGGTGTCCTTTGGGGGGTTGTGAACTAGGTCAACCAGGAATCGCCATCTATTTTCGACCACAACCAAAAAGGACACCTCCTCATCTGACAGTTTGGTTTCAACGGGAAACCAACAGGAAAACCGAAAATCGAACACCGATCCATCTTGATCCAAGACAAAGATAGCCCCAAACCTCGAATCCCCCCGAGGGTCCCTAAGTTTTTTCCATCACCTCCAACAGGGATCCTTACATTATACACCTGAACGTTGCAACTTGTAAATGGTGGTGCCCAACTTTCTTTATTTTGGTGTTGAAAAAGCCATGCATGTTTATGGTTGCAAAATGGAGATCTTTTCAGGAGCAAAATGTCCAAGTTGCAAACCTTCGAATGGGCTCCGAAGCACGCAGAAGAGGAAGAAAAAACGCGCCGATTTTCCGATTTTCCCGTCGTTTCGGGTGAATGAGCGAGCCAGTCGCCTGGGCTCGAAGAAGCCGATTCGGTCGCGCCGGCTGAAATCCTCGCACCACCTGGAACCCCGTTGTTCGCCGTAAACCTGGAAAAGTCGTCGATAAAAGGTTGAAAGCAAACGAAGAAAAACGGCTTTTTGGCTGTATGGCTGAATTCTTCTTTTGCACGCAAAGCCTTTTGACCAAAAAGAAACCAGCCGTGAGGGGCTCCAGGCAAGCAAAAAAAGAAGAATTTGCCAACCAAAATCTTGTTGCCAGCATCCCCATTCTCAAGTTGGTAGTTTGAGGGTCCAAATACCTTTGGTCCCTTTCAGCGCTGCAAAGCTCTTGGCTACATGGATCCGCTGTCACAACAGCCCAAAAGAAAAAGGCTCAGCTGCTCTTGCACCTGGCTGCTGTCTCCGCCGTATGCTGCATTTCCCCAGGTCACAACTGCCCCGGATTCAAGAATGGCGGCAAAAGCACCACGGAAAGTTGCCTGGATGCTCTGGACGTTCCTCAGCTGCTCTTGCACCTGGCTGCTGTCTCCGCCAGATTCTGCATTTCCCCAGGTCACAACAGCCCCAGATTGAAGTATGGCAGCAAAAGCACGTTCAGTTGCTTGGATGCGCTGGACGTTGGTCAGCTGCTCTTGCACCTGGCTGCTGTCTCCGCCACAGTCTGGAGCACCCCAGGTCACAACAGCCCCAGATTCAAGAATGGCAGCAAAAGCACCATGTGCAGTTGCTTGGATGCTCTGGACATTTCTCAGCTGCTCTTGCACCTGGCTGCTGTCTCCGCCATAGTGTGGATGACCCCAGGTCACAACAGCCCCAGATGCAAGAATGGCAGCAAAAGCACTGCCGTTTGCTTGGACGTGCTGGACATTTCTCAGCTGCTCTTGCACCTGGCTGCTGTCTCCGCCGTATCTTGCATATCCCCAGGTCACAACAGCCCCAGATGCAAGAATGGCAGCGAAAGCAAAGGCAGTTGCTTGGATGTGCCTGACGTTCCTCAGCTGCTCTTGCACCCGGCTGCTGTCTCCGCCTTCTGATGAATCACCCCAGGTCACAACGGCCCCAGATTCAAGAATTGCAGCAAAAGCATGCTCAGTTGCTTGGATGCTCTGGACTCTCCTCAGCTGCTCTTGCACCTCGCTGCTGTCTCCCCCGTCTTCTGAATCACCCCAGCTCACAACATCGCCCGATTCAAGAATGGCAGCAAAAGCACGTTCATTTGCTTGAATGTGGTGGACGTTCCTCAGCTGCTCTTGCACCTGGCTGCTGTCTCCGCCACATTCACCGCCGCGCCAGGTCACAACAGCCCCAGATTCAAGAATGGCAGCAAAAGCATGGTCATTTGCATGAATGTGCTGGACGTTCCTCAGCTGCTCTTGCACCTGGCTGCTGTCTGCACCATAGTGTAGATTACCCCAAGTCACAACAGCCCCAGATTCAAGAATGGCAGCAAAAGCACCATGTGCAGTTGCTTGGATGCTCTGGACATTTCTCAGCTGCTCTTGCACCTGGCTGCTGTCTCCGCCATAGTCTGGAGCACCCCAGGTCACAACCTCGCCTCCGTGGTTATGCCAAGCAAACGCCTTTCCGGTGGCAGCCAGTTTGCCCAGCTGCACAAACGCAGCCACTGCGTCCCCATCTCGCAACCCGGCCTCGCTTAGCGTGGCTGTCAAATCCAGCTTCCGGCCTTTCGCAATGAGCGTCAAGCGGCGCTGGAAATGCTGCTGTGCTGCAGCCTTCAGCTGGCTGATGGGCGTCTCTGGTGAGACGTCGACGGAGCAACCATCTCCACTGGGCAAGTGAACATCCACCTTCATGGCGCAGGAGGAAGGTGCTTCTGGGTGCATTCAAACTGCAACATTTAAATCCTTGGATCCCGTTTTGAGCAGATTTCTGATCCCGGAACTATTGGCAAGGGTTCAAATCCTTGGACACGGAAGCTAGATCATTCATAGGTGTCAACCCATCTTGACTCGGCTGTCTAAGTGGCATTGCGCTGTGCAAATGCAAAGCAACAGGCATGTTAAGGGAATGTCACATACACAACGCTGGAGAAAAGAGAAATCCACACCAAAATCTGAGCGAATTCATTTCATATTTTCATTTGAGTGGAATTTCACATGTATCCGTGAAACTGGATTTAAGGCGGAAAAAGCCCACCTTGCACCCTGCGGTTGGCAGCCTACGCTCAAAGTATGTGGTTCCCGTCAAAGAGTTGGAAAAATGAGTGTAAGTCCTCCAGTCTTGAAAAAAGAAACTTCGTGCGACCGTCTCCTGATCTGACCAACCAAACCTACTGTGGATGGACGAAATCCTGCACCACCACTTTGACACCATGAGAAACCATTGTTTGTTGGTATTTACAGGGGAATCATCCATCCAGGGTTTCTTAGGTGGTGCGAAATGGGTTTCGTCCATCCACAGTAGTTTGTTGGCTGGTAGCCCAAACCACAGCTGCTCCGTGGCTTCCCAAACCCCGCCCAGCTCGCGGAAGGCAATTTTTTTCCGGGCGCAGCGCCAGCAAGAGGACCTGCAGAGGCACGCGGAATTGGTCACCGACTTCGGACATCCCCAATCAAGAAACCAACCCTGTGAATCCGTCAAGACAATTAGCGGGGGCAAGACATTTTTTACCGTGAAAGCTATTTTTTACCGTGGGCAGTTTTTTTACCGTTGCCGTTGCCGTTGCCGTTGCCGCGAAAAGTTAATTTTTTACCGGGGAAATTGCCGTGGCTGTTGCCGTGGCTGTTTGGCAAGGTGCAGTAGTTTCGCAATAATTCCTTCCAAACTACTGCGAAATTATCTCAGCGCAGTAGTTTCGCAGTAGTTAGCTCCAAACTACTGCGGAATTAGCTCCAGTGCAGTAGTTTCGCAGTAACTACTTCCAAAATAGCCGTTGCCGTTGCCGTTGCCGTTGCCGTTTTTGTTGCCGCGTTTTTTGCCGTTGCCGTTGCCGTTGCCGTGAAAAGTTAATTTTGCAAGTCAATTAAGAAGTCACTAATTGCCGCGAAATGGGAATTGCCGTGAAAGTTAATTTTTACCGTGGGACTCTCTAATTGTCTTGACGGATTCGTTGGGAATAGGCCGACTATCGGACACGGCCGTTCCTGGAATGACGAAGTGGGTGCTGAATAGAGGGCTGCGGAAACTCAACCAACATGTTCCATGTCCTTTTGGTTTCATCTCAGAGAAACCAAACCTCTGCGATCTGCTAGGCAGGTTCGCCGAAGGCCTAACGCCAGCCTGCGGTTTCAGACCATCCGTGAGGGAACTTCGATGACACATGCCCAAAGCAGCAACACACACAGACACACAACCGATGGGTGATTTGGGGAGCACATGGGGGGACTCGCTGAGCTGATTTCATACAGCCTTGCATGCGGCTTGCCCGCTATGAGTAAACCAAAGAGCTGTAATGGGTTTGCTCGGCACCCAAACGTATCCAAACAATTTATCCCACGAGCTTCCCTTTGAAGGGATATTGGGCTGTTGCAAACCCAAGTCGAGGGCGCGGTCTGCCCAGTACATAGTTGTCAGATGAGCGATTGTGTTCGGGATACCTTCCGCAATGCGCTGCGTGCTCTTCCCGGCTGATACACAACCCCAAAGTGCATGTATACTGAAGACCCTGCATGTTCTCAACAGAGACAATGACCCAAAGGTTCCCTTTCACAGGATACAACCCAAAGACCCAAACAAAGACCCAAAGGTGCGATCCCACATCCCACTGTTCTCAAACCAAACAAAGGCGAACCTCGGATTTCTACCACCCAATGTATCTCCATCCCACCCCCCTACGCCTCGTCGGGCAGGGGCCACACCTCTGCCACGCAGAGGCTCGCCTCTGCCTGCGTCAGAGCCAGGGCAAGAAGGGCAAGAGGGGGGGGATCTGGAGACGTAAAAACGGTTCTGCCCTCACGATCTTCGCAGCAAGTAACCTATGTGGATTTCCATGGGGAAAACAAGAGCGTCCTTTTTGTTTGGTGGAGTTTTACGGGGAACCCTTGCCAAAAAAAAGGGGAAAAAGGGCGCCTCTGGGCAACTGGGTATGACTAGAGGGGGGTGTTGAGGGGGGGGCGGGGGTGTTCAGGGGGGGGGGCGTCGAGGGCCCCCCTTTTATTCATCAGAGGTGAACATGATCAAGCCCGCGATGGAACTCAGAGGGTCTTGAGACTTGAGAAACCTTCCGGGACTTCCGTGTAGGAGCCTTCAGCGTCGAGAATCCCTTGTTTTGAGGTCGTTTGGCTGCGTTCCTTCAAAAGGGCTCATCAAAGGGCAATTTGGCTGGTTGGGCTCCTAATGCTCTCCCTAACGTTCTCCCTGATCCTTTGCGCAGTGAATTAAAACAAAAACCTGCCATCATTTGCCCAGGTTCAGATGAGCGCAGGACAAGAACAGGGAATCCCAAGAGCCTCGTCGCGACTGGCTCGCATCTAAGAGCCACCGCACGCCAAGCTGGCAGCTGGCACAAAGAAGTGGTTCATGCGAATCTGTCTCTAAGGCTGTGTGGCTGCATATGGCTGTGGGTCAGCACCAATGGTACCATATGGCTGTGGGTCAGCACCAATGGTGCCCTTTTGGGGTAGGTGAAATCACCACCCACGTTAGTCAGGATTTTAGTGGGGATTGGGATGTTCACTGGGGGTACGATTTGGGTTTTGACCCATGGCCATATCGTCCCAATATGTTCGAAAAAGATAAGACGAGCACAGCGCAACAGGAAATGGATGGGCGCTCAGCCCGCGAAGCGAGAAAAACAAAAAAACACGCAAGACTTCCTGCCTCTCCCAATGATGCAGCCAGCTGGTCCTCAGGGAAGCTGGAAGCTCAAAGTCTGGGAGCTGTCTGAGTCGGACTTGGCCATCCGCTTGAGGACTGGAAGTTAGAACTCAGCTTTTCATCCCAAACTGTCGGGGCTGCCAAAGGGTTTTTTCCTTTTGACCCGACGAAGTCGTGTTTTCTTGATAAGGATTGTATAAGGACACAGGCAACAATGCTTTGTGTATTGCATCTGGAAGTCATGGTTGCTCAGCCTGATCTCTTGCTCAAACAAAAGGCAAGAAAGAGCAGGCATGGCTCAAATGGCCAAGCAGAACAACTCTAAGGATATTCCTGACAATTCACAAATAACCAGGACCCATTATGTAGCGGAATCGAAGCTCATAAATCATATATATGTATATATATTGACAGAGGCGGTTCTGCATAAACACCTGTTTTCACATTTTGGGTCCAAGCGGGCTTAAAACCCCGGACAACCCCCCGGACAAACCCCTCCGGACAGCGTTGACCCGGGACAAACCCTCGGACAAACCCCCGGACAACCCTCCGGACAGCTTCGAGGGCCCAAAAGCCCGGGACAAACCCGCCGGACAAACCCCTGGACAACCCTCCGGACAGCTTTGAGGGCCCAAAAACCCGGGACAAACCCCCGGACAAGTCTTCGGAACACGCCAAAACCACTCGGAAACCACTCGGAAACCACGCGGAAACCACTCGGAAACCACTCGGAAACCACTCGGAAACCACTCGGAAACCACTCGGAAACCACTCGGAACCCGCTCAAAACCACTCGGAAACCACTTGGAGGGAAGTATTCTTGCGGGGGGTTTGCCGCACAAATCTCGGCAAAGTGCGCGGACAACCCTCCGGACAACCTTCCGGACAACCCCCCGGACAACTTGCTGGACAGTTGTTTGTCCAGCAGTTTGTCCCGCACTTTGTCCCGCACTCTGTCCCGCGTATCGAGGGGGGTGTTTATGCAGAAGGGCATTCGTCAATATATATATATATATATCAATATATATATATATATACATGTACAAATAGATCAACCCACACAAATGTTTGTTGAGGGCCTGCCCCATTCTTCCCACCCGGCTCAGACCAGGTTCCTGTCCGTTTTCATTGCGAGTCGAACTCTTCGCAAGGTCGCCCACAAGGCCGGAAGGGGGGAGAGCAGTCCGAAGCCATTCGAGGCCCGAGGCCGGCCCAAATTCAGTGTGTGTTCCACCTGGAATTGCATGGTGTGGTGGTGAGGGTAAACAGTTTTTTGGTATCATAGTGGGATAAGTCCCCTCTCCTCTGCCACCTCGGTCGGGATTTTCTGTCGAGGCTAAAACCTTGGTATGGGCCATTTTGGGTGGCCGCCCAAGGGTGTCATACCCCAGGGTGTAATTCACAAAGTCAGCCGCCACAAAGCCCTTGACCACATGTTGTCCCGACATATTTGGCTATGGGTCAAAAGCCGAATCGTACCCCCAGTGAACCTCCCAATCCCCACTAAAATAGGTTCTAAAGGTGCTGCACCCAATCCCCAAAACGGGATCCCATTGGTGTTGACCCACGGCCATTTGAACTTTTTGGCCTTAACCCAAAAAGCTTACACAAAACTCACACAAAAACTCACCCACAAACTCACCCACAAAACTCACGCACAACTTCTTGAACAAAACTCGCGCAAAAAAAATCGAAGTCTAGCCGAGCCCCACACCTGCCGCAGCGAGCTGCGGGTAGCTTTGGACTGGCAAAGCTATGGGGAGCTCGTCTGGTGATCCTTGCGGGTCATTACCTCGCAAGGTTCTGTGGACAAAATCCATTTCGCACCAGTTTGAAACCATGGTTGAAAGCATTGTTTGTTGGTAACAGGGGAACCATCATTGTGGATTCCAGGGATTCTTAGGTGGTGCGAAATGGATTTCGTCCATCCACAGTATGTCTAGCCATGAGAAATAACAGTCTGTGATGCCAGAGTTGCCATCCCCAGAGTTCATTGGGGATTCCCCCGAATGTCCACAACCATGAACCACTACCCAAGGAAAGCCTGGGGGCATATGAGTTTCTTGGAATTCGATTCGCTCATCTCAGTTTGTAGTGGCCTTTTTTTGCCTTGCTCATCTCTGAAAGGCAGCCATATATATTGTACTTTCATGGCTACGTATATATTGGCTCAATATGTGTGCATATAGAGCAAGAGAGAGAGAGAGAGAGAGAGAAAATATGTATACATATATATATGTATGTATGAATGTATGCATAGATAGGTATGGATGTAGACATATATATATATATGTATTAGATATTGATATAGATAATAGATATGCAAACAAATTTCCTTGCGATTGCAGCCTGTCCTTTGGGGGTAGTGAACATCCTTTTGCCAGCGACATCTGAGGATTCTGCCAGTGAGCCAACTGGCAAAGGGAAAGGACATCAATGCTCCCCAGTTACCGTTGAGCTTAATGCATATTGCTGAAACACTGCGAATGATTCCCATGTTTTCCATCCATCCACAGTAAAATAGGTCAAATGGGACCCTGGAACAAACCTTACAGACCTCCCTGGGATAGGGTCCTAAGGTTCTAAACTCCTTCCCCTTGTCGCCTGTGATGCGTGGCTAGGCTTGCAAAATCGCCACCATAGGCTGCAAGAACCTCCTGTCCAACTCGGGTGCGTCTGTAAGTGCTTGTGCAAGTCGTTTTGCTTGGCCTTGCTGACGCGTTGTCTGTTCCCCTGATTGTCAACAAAACCCAGTGTTCAAGAGAATCTGGTAGAAAAGGGGAAGTCCTGTCAAGGTTGACCAATTCTTGTGGGGACCCCAAAATAATTAAACACAAAAGTTTTTGAACCAGACCTCCGGCCATGAGGACAAAGGGCACCGTTCTTGGGGTTGACCTTAAGGGGACTTCCCCCTCCCCTACCAAAAGGTGACACATACGCCACAAAATTGGAAGAAAAGGCGACCAAATCTAGGTGAATTATAATATTTCACCAACCTGAAACTTGCGGTGGTTGGGGGGCCACTCCCCACATAAACCACCATTTAGGGTGAATTCAGTCGTGTGAGGTCGTTATAATTCACCCAGACCAACTGCGAAGCTGAATTTTGTCCACAGGGGAGTCCCTGGGTGGGTGGTTTGGAGTTTCGATTGATTTCCCGGTAAAGCCGGGGTTGAACTCCAAATCCAAACCAATCCAAACCGCCAACTAAGGCTAGGTCCTCCAGTAGACAGTAGAGAGGTTAGAATAAGGGTACCAACCTTTTTTCTGTAGTCTATTTTAGTAGGGGAACCTTCCCCAAAAAACTGGTAAAAGGGCACTACTGGGGGACCTCTTCTAGGGCTTCCTGGAGGTATGGTCCAACCCAATTCCGCAATTCCGAGCGCGCGCAGGCGGCTTTTGTTCCTCAGCTCGCATCCTTGGCCCCCCGCGCCAGGTCACTGTCCGGGCCGCGCGAGCGGCTGAAGCAGACATAGGCCTGCCGAAGGGGCCGCAGGCTCCGATGTTCGACCTAAGATGACCATGCCATGGTTAGAACTAGGTCCACAAACGAGATCTTTGAGTCTGGCGTTTTGGTGTGGCCCAAAACCAGCAGGAAGTCTCTCAGAATAGGTCTCCTGAAGCAGAAAGTCCTGGAACTCTTCCACTCGAGATTTCAAATCTTGTGTATATGTAAATTTCATATATATATATATATATACAAATATAAATATAAATATATAAATATATATATATATATTTATATTTATATGTCACTACGTGGGTATAAGCCAAGGGATCCGGCTAAACATTTACGCACCTAATTCTCTGGTCATATTCTAATGATTTAGGATCATGTCCTAAACCTCCTCCCCAAGACAAAAAGGAGAAAACAAACTTAAAAGCGGCTGGTTTCCATGCCCTCTATTTGGTCGCCCCCTCAGATTACTCCCAAATATGTTCGGGCTCTTAAATATTTTCGGGCTGCGACCCCCCCCCCCCTCGCAACCGCAGCCCCCCCCCCCCCCGCCCCTCCACGCGTCGCCGCCGGCCGCGCCTTCCTCGCCCACCGCGCGGCCGCCGCAGGATCCGCTCGGCGCAGCTCCGCGGCGGCGTCGAGGCAGGCGAGGCCTCGCCTAAGGTCGGCGGAGTTCACAAAGGTTTCGGTGAGGGAAGCCAAAAAGGAGCACCGGCCTGTCTTTTTCTCTCGTTTTTTTGTGTTTGTTCTTTGTTTTGGGGGGGGCTGAGTTTAGGTGTTGGTTAAAAGGGAAGCCAAAAGGAAAGAAAACCGAGCCATTTAGGGTCCCAATTTGGACAAACCAACACCATTTCCCCAAGGAGATGTTGGGTTGGTTTCGAGTTTTCGAGGGAAAGCAAACCAATCATTGGTTTAAGGCGGCAAAAGGAAAACCATTTTAGGGGGGTACTCTCTTTTCCTTTCGGACTTGCTTAAATATAGTGAACAAAGGGGTCCTCTAAGTATTTCGAGAAACTCCCATGTGTCACACTTCCTGTGATACCAATATGGGTATATCGACGAAATAGGGGAATCCTCCAAAATATGTTTTTCCTTCAAACTAACCGAAGAAAGGGTAACCTCAAAAACAAGCACAGATGTGTATACATATATATATATATATATCATGCGCCATTCCCGCGACTACCGTGTCACTTTGACGGGAATTCCCTGGGTGTCACAAACAATGGCAACCCAAACCCCTATGCTCGACATGGCCCAAGCGCTTCTCAGCTTGGTTCTCAGGGAATCAACAGACTGGACCGTTTTTCTAGGTCAAAGGCAATAAAAGGGGTCTTTTGGGGGTCCAGGAGGCTTGGGGGTTTGCACCCTTTGGGATTTTCAAGGAGCCTCTAACGCAAACGGTGTTCGATTCGATGTTGATTCTGACTCATTTAGAGATGTTTCAGAGGGCCTAAGCAGATGGTTCTCGCAGCTTGCGATGACATAGATCCCTTCGTCCGATGGATTCACATGGCTTCCCTTGGACTCCAGTCGTTCATGTTCCCAAAAATGGAGACACCAGAAAGAGAAAACCAAGCAAGCTTCTGACAGCAAGCAAAGGAAAGCACAGGATTCGCCGGACTCGCCGGCTTTGAACACGTCAGGGGTCTTTGGATTGGCCGTGAATGCCTCGCCGGACGGGCCCAAAGGATTCGCTGGGATGTCTTGGGTGATGCTTTGGTTGATGCAAGCTTCGATTGATCATAGCGAACCCCCATTTGCGTTTCATGATTTCGAAACCAGAAAGGAAGCCATCTCGCAACATTCGGAACCGTGGGGCGAGGAATCGCTCGTAGCCGAGAGAGCTCTTCATAACACAGCGCTGCTTAAAATGGAGGGTTGGGCAATGCTTGGGTGTTTTGCTGTTGGGCACTCCATGTTTTGTGGTTTAAAGCGGAACCCAACAGGAAAACCGCCATTTTGCAGGGCCCCCCCCCAAAAAAAAAACGCGCACCAGTTTCTCTCACCCGTAAATGCTGCAAAGGGGCTCTTTGATATTGGGAAAAAATGCACAGGGTTGGCCGGGAAGTGCAGGGGAACTCCGGGAAACCAAGCGAGTGGTCTGCTCTTGCAATCTTTCTGGGCACATCATACTCTCCCAACATGGAAGTGAAAAAGGGCCAACTAACCAAGAGGAAAGTCGTCTTTCTACAGGGTTCTGTGCACTTTCATGTTAGCTGGTGGAAGGGTAATTCATCAACCTTCTTCTTCTTCTTCCACCTCAGCAAAGCCGTGTCTGACATCCGCGGTGTCAGCACATCTGAAAGGTTCACGCCCCGGTCGGCGCAATAAGCAGGCGCCACTCAAAAAAAATAAATCGCCAACCGCAAATAAGGGCATCCCTTTTTCCTTCATCATGGGTGACCTCACAACCCCCCCCCCCCCCCTCCCTCCCCACAAGTCCCATGACGTTCAAAAATGCCCCGATCTTTTAACATGCCCGGAGCACCTGCCTGCTTGCACGTTCGGCCAAGTTGGTAAGTGGTTGCCATTTGGGGTATAACCCTCTTGTCACAAACCCCACTGAACGGGGGACTTGTAAGTGGGTTATAACCTAGGTTACAAACAACTTACCGGTACTCACTTGGCCAAACACCCAAGTAGCGAAGTCCCCACTTCGCCCTTTCGCCTATTTTCTTTTCTGCTGGGGCCCGCACAGCGTCAGGTCGGCGAGACCCTCCTCATCCATGAGCCTCAGGACCTGGTGATGCCCAGAGGAGCTTCGTTGAGAAGAGGAACCCGACATGAGTCACAATCAAAACCCGGTATTAAATTGAAGCCAAACAGGAGCGCCCTGGGACATTCCTCAAACCATGGCGTTTGGGGGTGCATATGACGATATGAGCCATAATCACAACATGGTACTAGAATGGTTCACCCAGAACCGTGTAAGGAAATACCAAGGGCGGATATCCGCAGCTGTTTCTGGCTGGGATTGGCCCTAACCGGATCATCTACTCGGGTTTTGACTGTGGCTCACATGCAGTTTACTCTTCGTCCCTCGAATTCCAAAGCAAATCGTTCGGCAAACCCATTGAGTGCCCACAATTGTCCACACACCTCCACTTGGATGTTCAACCCACTCGGTAAGCACGTGACCTCCTTTCGTTCTGCGTGGGACAAGGATTCGTTGACATGCAATCAAGGTTTTAATTTACCTACCCACTGGGTTGAACATCAAACATCTCACATTTCTTCGAGGAATCTGCTCCCCCCGTTTCCCTTAAGACCTGCAACGAACCAGG